AGGGTTTAGGGCTGTTGTGCATAGGGTCATTATGAGTCGAAAACGACTCGAAGGCACATAACAAGAACAACAATGGGGAGTAAAGTACAACAGTGAATGACTGGTAACCCTAAGTGTCTGAAAACTTTCATTAAAATGAATAAAAATTAAAAGAGTAATTAGTGTACTAAAACATTCTATAGTGGCTAGGTCACAATAATTGTTAAACCTTTTAAAGGAAGTAATCTAAGTTATATTTCTTAGAATTGGTTAGATAAATGTATTCTGATCTGTAAGTAGATTATCATTTTAATTTATTTGACACTGCCTTACAGAATTAATAGACAAAAGAATTGCATTGATTTACAGATACCATTTTTGGCCTGTATGTTGTTGGTCTACAGAACATGTTACTCTCTGACTATATCTGTTTTTCTTTTTGTTCCCATTTCCATCATACCTCCTCTATTTTAGGAAAACTGGGAGTCTATGATGCTGACGGTGATGGGGATTTTGATGTGGATGATGCCCAAGTTTTATTAGGCAAGTAAACATTTTTTGTTAGTGGTGGGAAAGTCCTGGAAACTGACCTTTGATGATATCAGTATAAATCATGTACATTTTATTGAAGCTAACTTTTCTGCTTATATAGTTTGTTTCATTCTTGTTGAGATATTAAAGGACTTAATTGTATTTCCATAGATTCTCCTTTCAATTTACTTTTATCAGTGAATCAGTATATAGCTCTTAACATGCATTTTGTTGTTGTACATATTTTGCACATTAATATGCATATTTTAATAAAATAATAATAAGTATATTTTTAGTATTTTTAATAAAATAATAATAAGTATAATTTTATGCTTTCAATGTATTTGCACATTAGTGCATATATTTTTAAAAGTACAATTTTATATTTTCAGATTTAATCACTTTTAATTCCCAGTTTAATATTTGAATATATATAGACAATGCCCTTTTTTATCTTAAAATGCTATGTTATTAGAAAGGATGTCACAAATTTTATATATAAACTGACCTGATGAGATAGGTCTTTCTTCCTGTCAAACAACATTGTTTCCTTTAGTAGATGCTATAACATACAAGTTTTTATACTAAAGAATTTAGAAAAATAACGTTGGTATCTTATATTCAATCTTATAAATAATGACATTAGAAATTATTCGCAGGCATACTTTCTTATGTTTATTTTATGGAAATGAAAAAATATGGTATGCAACCACATCTATTACCAATGAAACTTTTTAGTAGGTGATTCTTACTTTTGTAATAGTCTTAAATATGCAAAAAAGAGTGCTGTGATAAAATATAATGTAGCTTCTTAATTTTCCAGCTGGCTTTATATTTTCTTATTGCTCAGTAGGAATTCATGTTTTGATACTTATAGTAGAAGTCTAAAATCCAGGAAAATTATTTTTCTTCATTTTGGGGAACTTTTTATGCAATTCTGTCATATATCTAAAAATAGAGTTTTTATAAATATATATAGAGAACACATTCTAGATATGTGAAGAAATAACATTAAATTTAGTATTTTAAAATGGTGTTAATTCATTTGTGAATGATTATTTCATTATATGTTCTTTAAATGATAAGTTATGAAATCAAATACTCATTTCTTATACAACTAATCTTTGTAGTTTATAATAACTGTGTTTTCTCAGTGAAAAGTCTTTTTAGAAAATCTCTAAACCCTATTACTTTGCTGAACATTTATTCATTAAAAGGATATGGATTTTTTCTTTTTATTTAAAAAAAATAACTTCATTTAGGCCTTATTTTTTAGAAATATTACTTGTGCTCTACTGCATTTTACATATTCTTTTAACTTAAAAATCACCGTTTTAATTTATAAGGTAGGAAATACCAGTTGTTTGAAAATTGATGTTTTCTGCTATAGGTTGTACCCATTCAAAATTTATTCTCATTAAACTTTTAACCAGGCATGCAGAGGTTAATTTTCACTTTAAAGATTACTGTTTGCAGGTAGTCACCTATGGGCAAGTCATAACATCCTTCTTTTATAAGATATATGTACTGGAATTAGAACCAAATATAGTAAGTCTCAGGGTTTGTTTTGGTACATTGACTAATAGTATAATTTTTGCAGCCAAACTGGGGGTGTTATTTTTAACACATACATTCACTATTTCACAGTTGGCTTCTACCAAAGATGAAACAGACCAAAGGCAAATATTCAAGCTCATATATTACCTCTAGTCTTTGCTAGTATTTGAGTTCCTGCATGAATTGCATTCTTTTTTAAATTTTTAAAAAACTATTATTAATTTCAATGAACATTTACAGAGATTTTGAATTTCCATTCATTCATTATTGCACTTTTCTCCCCCTGCCCCAGTTTGCTCTTCTCTTTGAAAAGTAAAAGAAAATTCCCTTCATTGTATGCAATCCCCCCTGCACCTCCCCCACCCCCACCCCGAGTATACTCTACTCTGCAACCTTCATTCTGGACTCTTATGATGCTCATAATGCCCTATAATATATTGCTTTTAAACTGTTCTCTCCCTCATCCGTTTCAATGCAATATACATAATGAATTGCATTCTTAACTAGAACTGAATTTGCAACTTAAGTTCTCTGGTTTAATCACTATAACATAGTTGTTGATACTGCCTGACATCAGGGTTCTATTTTCTGGAGAAAGGAAGAAAGGGAGCGAATTCAGTGATTCCCAGAAGGAACCAGATTCTTTGTCTGCTCTCATTGAAGGGACTGTCCAGGTTCTTTGAGACGAAGATCATGCAAATGCTGGTTCTGAAAGGCCAACAGGATAGTATATGCCCAAAACTAAAGATGAGAAGATAAGGAGGAAGAGCGAAACTGGAAAAGTAGAACTGGGGAACCCAGGGAAGAAATAGAAATAGTATAGGCATGTTATAGACATTTCAGCCAGTGCCACAGAATAATGTGTGTATGAAACTATTGATTGGGAACACTAACATGCTATGTAAACTGCCACCTTAAACACAACAAAATTATTTTAAAAATAAATTTAAGTACAGCATGTAAAAGGAGCTCTAATGGTATAATTTGTAGGAGGTTGTGCTTCTGAGGGGGTTGTTGCTCTCTGTCAGTTTGAGTCTACCAGCTGTTCCTTGAGAGAAAGCTGGACAATCTCCTCATGCCATTTACAGCTGTAGAACTACAGTGTAGGGTCAGCTAGAATTTGATTTCAGTATACAAGAACAAAACACTCTTAGTAGTTACCAGGGATAGGAGGAGACAGGGGACAGGAGAGGGAAGGAAAATGAGTAATTAGATAATAGGCTCATAGCAGTTTAGATGATGAGCCATTGAAGTCTTTCTGAGTAGCAGTGGAACACTGATAGGGTGGTAGGAGATGAGGCCCTGATGGTGGAAGGTGCTCAGAATACAGCTGGGGAAGAGCTGATTTCTGAAAGCAGAGTTTAACTTAATGACATACAGCAGAGATTGTGAGGGTGCTGCAGGATCAGATAGCATTCTATTCTTTTTTTAATTTTTTTTTTGTTCTATTCTTTTTAAAAAAATTTATTATTTCAATGAAAATTTCCAGAGACTTTGGATTTCCATTCATTCATTGTTACCCTTTTCTCCCCTCCCAAGCCTACCCCCCAGTACACTACCCTCTTGGAAAAATAACAGAAAATTTCTCTCATTGTTTTATAATTTCTCTCCCTCGGTCCACTCCACTATGCAGCCTTCACTCTGAACTCCCGTCATGACAAAAATACCTAATCACATATCCCTTTTAAACAGTTCTGTCTTTCATCTGTTTCAATGCAGTATACATAATTTATTAAGTCTTTCTCAGTCTCACCCCAACCCCAATGTCAGTCCTGCTTTATAACAGTGGCACCATGCAATATTTGTCCTTTTGTGGCTGAGATACTTCACTCAACATAATGTCCTTCAGGGTCCCCCATTTTGAATAATATTGCATGAGTTCCTTGTTTTTCAATGTAGCATAGTATTCCATTGTGTGAATATACCACAGTTTCACTATCCATTGGTTTGTTGATGGTCACTTAGGTTGTTTCCAACTCCTTGCTATTGTGAACGAAGCCGTGATAAGGACAGGTGTGCATATATCTGTTTGGGTGTCAGTTATGGTGTCTTTAGGGTATATTCCCAGTAGTAGAATTGCAGCTATTTGAGAAAGCACCATACCAGCTTCCACAGTGCTTGCACCATTTTACACTTCCACCAACAGTGAATAAGGGTTTCAGTCTCTCCCCAACCTCGCCAGCATTTATTGCTTGCTGTTCTGTTAAATTTTGCTATTCTGACTGGGGTGAGATCTCATAGTTTTTTTCATTCTATTCTTTTGTACGCAGAACTGCTATGAATGGGAGCTGACTCAATAGTTCCTAACAAAATATACATATGTGTATATGTGCATGCATACGTGTGTGGATATATGCTTACACCCCTATATACTTATATATGTTTATATATATACATACATATATATGTGTATATATGTATATAATATATGCATATAATATATATATAAATATATAGGTATATACACACATATATGTATATAGGGAGCGCTGGGGAAGACCTCGATGAGATGGATTGATTCAGTGACTGGGGTAATGGGGGTGGGTGTGTCAGAGGCAGTGAGATGGGCACAGGATAGAGCAAGGTTTAGGGCTGTTGTACATAGATAGGGTCTCTATGAGTCGCAGGTGACTTAATGGCACATAACAAGAACAACAACTGGTGGTCTAGTGGTAAGAAGGTGTGTTGCAGTCCCGAAACTACAAGGTTCAAATCCATCAGCTGCTCCCAGGAGCAGTCTTCTCCTGTGCAACTAACTGCCTCTGAAAATACACCAGAGCATCATCTATGAGTCTATTCTGACTTGACAGCACACAACAACAACATATCTGCAAATGAAAAGAAAGAGACAGTGCAAAAAGAAAGGTGAAAGGACTTCCTAGGGGGGGGATTGGCATGGCTACTGCAGGAAGAGTCAATCTGTTTAGCTTTCTTAGGTTTAGCGTTTTATCTCATGAATGTTTTGGACTCTTAAATCTGCATATTTGTAAATTTTATCAATTTGAGAAAATACACGCGTGACTATCTTCCTTTCATATTTTGTAGCTTTTCTCATAAAATACGTTCTTCTTAGTGTTATTCTGTGCCGTCAAGTTGCCTGCGACTCTTAGCAACCCTATGCACAACAGCTCTAAACCCTGGTCTGTCCCTTGCCAATCTTACTGTCTCTGACATGCCTATCCCCATTACCACAGTCACTGAATCAATCCATCTCATTGAAGGTCTTCCTCTCCTGTGCTGTCCCTCTACCTTCCCAAGCATGACATCCCTCCCAAGGACTGATCCGCCTTGCATATCAGACGAAGCTTCAGAATCCTTGCCTCTAAGGAGCATCCTGGCTTCACCCTCTCCAAGATGAACTTGTTTGTTCTTCTAGCAGTCCATGCTATATTCTGCACTCTTCTCCAGCACCACAGCTCAAAGGCATCAACTCTCCTTCTGCCCTATCTAGTCAT